CTGACAACAGTTCATTTGGTGAGAAAAACAGTTAAATGCTTTTCAGAAATTGTTGACTTGTGCAATAATAACAGAACAGAGCTTACCCTGATGATGGACAGAAATTATTCAATATGTTGTTATTCAACTTATCATTGTAAAATTTTTCCTGGTCCAGTAGGTCTAAATACTCGCGGCACTCCTCACTTGTTTGTCGTTGTTATTTCCCCGCCCATAAGATACCATTTGAATAGGTGTGACAAGTTCAATGTCTGATATGTGTACTTGATCATAGGCCAGATATCTTTTTGGTGACAAACTAGACGTAAATTTATACTCAACTAAACTATTAACACTCCTTCCTCTGTGCCCCCGCCTAAACGAAAACTTATACTTAGCTAACCTGAGCTAAACTTAAATAGACAACAGACCTTTCAGATGCACTAAACTAAACTGTACCAAAACGCATTTAACTCAACTCAGATGAGATACAACTTTTGGTTATAATTTCAGAGGCAGACAAAAGCGAAGTTACCTCAAGTGATAACGGAGTGGATTTTAATGCTTCTTTGTCCATAGCAGGTAAGTATGACTGACTTGATTAGAAATCCAACACATTCAAAGGAGGAAAATATCTCTAATGGACTCTATATAATTAATTGTTACATGACCCTAGTGGTCCTAGGAAAAGTAAAAAGAATTTAAGACAATGAAAACGTAAAGAGTGGCAATAATATGATGATGTTGATGACCGTGAAGAAAGTCATGACGATCATTCATACCCTTCTTTTTTTCGGAATTTTCGACTTGAGGAAAATTGAAGTTTCATCATTTGGAAAAATAAAATATTTAGAGATCGGCAGTTCCGCAAGTACAGAATAAAGCCGTAAATAGTATAGAAGTATATTGTAATCATAAGTCTGGTTTATTGATTGAATTATGTTTTGAAAAGAATTAATAGGTAGCCACATCTAATTCAATGATCTAAAGCTCGAGAACTTGGCAGCAATGAAAAGAAATAATCACAAACAAACAGGGGTGAAAAAAGGTGCAATTTCTTGTCTTGATCATATTTGACGTTCTATGATAAGAAGGGAGGTTAATTTTTATAAATGTATTATTCTTTATTGTTTAATGGAAAAGTCCAGAGCACAACCCAATATGTTTGATTCTTTCCTAATTTTTAGCTACTTCGGAAGGGAAAGATTCAGCAAACCAAGAAAAGGTGAATTTGGAGGATGAGCTTTTATCAGGTGAGAGAGATAAAACAGTAAATGACTGGCACTTTTCAAGTTTGTGAGTGAAAAAAGACCTATGAAAATAAGTTAAACGCAAACAACTGAATCATTACGGCTAAAAATTTTCCTTGCTTAAAGCAAAATATTCTTTTTTACCATTCCAAGGTCTATCTGGATTCAAGAAGGAGTCAGACGACGATGATGGCAAATCAACAGGTACAAGTGATTACAGCAAACACAGAGTGCGTGTTAAAAGTTAAGCGTCAATTAAACACCGAGAAACACGTTGCAAATCAAGAAAGTTTTTCGAAGATTGAGGAGGGACTGATGCCTTTTTTTGGGGGGTTAATATTTAGGATAGAAAGATAATTAATATATAAGATAGATTCTTTCAGAGCCGTAAGCTACACAATAACAGAGAAATTGATATTTTTCAGTTTCTAAAGTTATTTTAGTCTTTCATACTGCGATGCTAAGGGGAAAACCCCAACAAAAATATCAGAGGATGGTGAAAATTAATAGAAAAGCTTTTCAAATATTCCAGTTTTATGACCACTAATATTCTTTGTTTTTTTGAGTTACCAAAGAGGCGCAAGTTGAAGCAGCCGAAGGAAACCAGGACTTGACTGACAACAGTTCATTAGGTGAGAAAAGCAGTTAAATACTTTTCAGAAATTGTTAACTTGTGCAGAGTTTGCGCCGATGATGGACAGAAATTATTGAATATATTGTTAATTAACTTATCATTCTGAAATTTTTCCTGGTCCAGCAGGTCTAAATACTCGCGGCACTCCTCACTTGTTTGTAATTTCCCCGCCCATAGGATACCACTTCAATGGGTTCCATGTCTGATATGGGTACTTGACCATACGCCAGATATCTTTTATTTGATGTGTTGTGACAAACTAGACGTAAATTTATACTTAACAAAACTAATAACACTCCTTCCTCTATGTGCCCCCGCCTAAACGAAAACTTATACTTAACTAACCTGAGCTAAACTTAAATAGACAACAGACCTTGCAGATGCATTAAACTAAACTTAACCAAGAACGCATTTAACTGAACTTATATTAGATACAACTTTTGGTCATAATTTCAGCGGCAGACAAAAGTGAAGCTTCCTCAAGCGATAACGGAGTGGATTGTAGTGCTTCTTTGTTCATAGCAGGTAAATAGGACTGACTTGGGTTAAAATCAAACATATTCATAATAAGAATATATCTCTAATGGACTCCCTATAATTTACTGTTTCATGACCCAGGTGGTCCTAGCTGGGGAGTTGGGTTGAGTTGTCCCCTCGATCAGTTGATGACACAAAAAAGAATGAAAACCATTTCGTTGTAATTTCATTGACAGACAAAAGTAAAGCTACTTCTGATGAGAAAAAAGTGGATATGAAGGATGCTCCTTTAGTAGGTAAGTTAGGAAACACAGAGATATCAAAGTCCTTAAAAAACTGAATTAAGTGGAATTTAAAATACAAAGATTATTTCCTGAAAATCACTTGCGCGCGTATTTCACCAAGTATGAAGTGTGACTGGGCGGACTGGATTTTGACTAAGAAGTTTTTGAATATTGAGTTACCCAGACGAAGTCGAGATTTATAAAACGAAAGAAAAAAGAGCACCAAACGCTATTACATGTCACCCCTGGGTTGAAACCATTTACTGTACTACGTTCACTTGGACGACAGAGCGAAAGACTTACGAACGACTACATCACCTACGCAAGCACTGTCAGACGAATACGACAAAAGCTCTGGTTTTATCACCGCTGTAAAGATCACGGCCTTGTTCCGGCCGGGCTCAAACTTAAGTCCCCGTTGAAAACATTGGAGGCCATCCAGATCGTCAAGGCCACCTGCAGACGACTGGTCAAAGCGCGGATAAATGATTGCCACAGAAGCCTCAAACGCTACAAAAAAAAGACACAACAACTACACGACAAACTGAAACAACTGATACCTACTGAATTACTTGACACTGTTACGACTATTGCCGACAAACGAGCCAACAAAGCGATTGAATGCTCCCGTAGTGGGCATCAACAGAAACTGACACGACTTTTACGCAACAAAGAATAGAGACGAAGTAGACCGGACGACAACTGGGTAAGGAACATCTCTTCCCGTCCCTTAGACAAGAATGAAACTCGCGCACTGTCATACGGACTGAAACACTCAGTTACACCGAAGGGGATACCGACCGAGGCTATTGTTGAAGCGGCTCTGTCTCGGCAAAGAGAGCTATCTGAGTCTACTAAGGATAACACCAGATGTGGAATTGCTTCCACTATACAATCAGCGTCACAAAATGGTAGCAACTTGACTAAAGACGAACAACATGCCCTTAAACGACTGAAAAACGACAAGGACAAAACCTACGAAGAACTCAAAAGTGACCCGACTCCTGCGCTTCAATGCAAACTTAACAGCACATTACTGACACTCAAGAAGACAAACGCCATTGACACCCAACACTACTATCGACTCAGGTACTCAGTACCACAGCCACCGAAACTTTACGGTCTGTCGAAACTACACAAACCTGGTTTCCCAATTCGACCCATTGTTTCTTTCTAGGGTTCTCCGACATACCAACTGTCCAAGTACCTGACAACAATACTACAACCGCTCACCGACAAATCCAGACGTAAACTACAATCCACCGAGGACTTCATTAACGCCACTAAGACTGTACAGATACCTGACGACTACAAAATAGTGTCATTTAATGTGAAATCGCTTTTTACAAGTATTCCACTTCAACTGGCACTACAATGTACTGAGACTGCAATCCTACAATCTACCGACCCTCTACTGCTACCGACAGAGGACATTATGGACTTACTAAACCTTTGCCTTACGTCAACTTATTTTCAGTACAACGGTAAACACTACAAACAGTTACACGGTACAGCTATTGGGTCTCCAGTTTCTGTTTTTGTAGCAGAAATTGAGATGCAGAACATTGAGGAAAGCGCCTTTACGACTTGCCGACAAACGATACCGCTTTAGTTACGCTACGCCGACGATACTTTCACCGCCGTACGACACGACGAAATCGACGCATTCCACCACCTCCTTAACGAATAAAACACTGACATGCAGTTTACTAGAGAGGTCGCAGAAAATGGCAAACTACCTTGTCTAAAACTGCCCGGTAAGCCGTGACGACAACTCACTACAGACAACTGTTTATAGGAAACCGACACATACCGACAGATTACTGGACGAGTCATCCTATAGTTCGACATCACACAAAGCCACAACTATTAGGACTCTTACGCGACGAGCGCAACTAGTATGCAACACGACAGACAGCTTATCCGACGTACAAGTACCTTGACCGTGTTTTTCTAGGAACAATTACAACGAAGACTTCATGCAACGTAACACTCACCGACCTACTACTACTACCGAAGCTAACGACAACACATCTCGTACGACTACAGCAACTATACTGTACATTAAGGGCATATCTGAGAACATCTCGCGCATCCTACAACCATTCAATATCCGCGTCGCTCACAAACCTATCACCACACTACGTCAGTTACTGACTTGAACGTCAAAGACAAAGACGAACCGGGGAACAGACAGAGAGCAGTGTATAAGATTAATTGCTCCGACTGCCACGCCTCCTACATTGGTGAGACTGGCAGAAACCTCACAACTAGACTGACCGAACACAAACGAGCGACGAGGAAAGGTGATGTCACCAATTACGTTGCTAAACGTCACCGACGTACGAACCACACTATTGACTGGGACTCTGCGTAATGCCTAACCTACAGCACTCACTACTTTTAACGACTGAACCTAGAAAGTTGGTTTACCAACTTGGAACAGACTCCCCTCAACAGGCGTCAATCACTACCGGTACGATACAAACGACTCATTCACGACATTAACATTACAAACGGATCGAGACCGACCAATCACGACCGACCTTCGCCACTTGAGTCTTACAGCCAATAACATCACGGCAAGACTGACCAATCAGTTTATACAAACCGGACTAAGAACATTCGACTGACAACAGCTATTCACTTGACTCTGATGATGACTTCCGCTCAGGTTGTCGAAACGTCAGTCACCACTACCGACAACAGTACATCTCAGGACTACACTCACCCGGACGATCAAACTACACTATTACAGAACTATTACTGTACCCCCAACGATTTTCTAACTACATAAGAGCAGAATGATTTTCCAGACTCATAATAGCAGTTGTTATTTAAAACATTTGCTCGTGCATTTTTTTTTAGTTTCAAAATGTATTTTTGTCTTTGAAATTGAAATAGGAGAAAAAACCCAAATAGACAGGAGGATCAAGAATAATAAAAAAAGTGCTGGATGTTGTAATTTGGATAACAGTTATACTAATTGCTGTTTGGTTTAACTGAAGAGGCGCAAGTTAAGTTAGGAGCAGGAGAAAACCAGGTCTTTGCAGACAAATCATTTGCAAACAAAAGAAAAAAACTGGTGAAATGTGTTTAGCGCCGATCTTTTACCACAACTCGCAAAAGGAGTTTCTTTTTTCTTTTAATGGGCAAATATTTATCTATTTTGATAGTCTAACAGGAAAGTTTTCAACTAGGCTATCATGAAAATTCTAACTGACCGTAAATGGTTTCCTTTTGTAACATTCATTATTCTATGACTTTTATTATCCTGTCAAATTTATCAAGAACAATTCTGATAATAGTAATGATGATAATGATAGCACAAGTGACGAATAGCAACAATGATAATGGTGAGGATGATCATTTAAACAATCTGATTTTTATACTTTTAGACCAGGAGAAAAGTCAAGTCCCCTCTTCTGGAAAATCAAAGGATTTAGAGATCGGGAAATCAACAGGTACAGAATTTTCCCGTCTCTTGGTGTGCATTTCTTGTTATAATGGCTGGTTGGTTGCTTTAAATCAAAAGTCAGCAGTTAAAGTTAAAGAAATCCAAGAAAAACTTGATTTGAATGATAAACATTCTTCAGGTAAGAGAAATAAAACAGAAAAGAGATAGTAGCAATCTAGGTTTGTAAATCTAAATCTCGGTATGTATTAGAGGTTGAAAAACAAAAGTCATCACAGATCGTGAGTTTTTAAACTATTAATATGTATTGGTATTTCAGTTGGCAAAGAGGACAACATGGAAGCTGATAAAAACCTGGCTGCTGCTGACAACGGTTCCCCAGGTGAGGGAAAAAATGAGGCCTTATCAGATTTTTTTTATGATTATAACGATATGATACTACGATTCGAACCGAGCTTTGTAAACTATGATGAGCAAACCGAATATTATAAAATAATTCAAATATTACGCGCGCTCTGATTGGCCATAAAACCATTTTACATGAGCGTATGTACACACGGTTTCCGTTCCTCTCTCATTAGTTATTTTATAAAAGAAATGTAAAATGGTTTTCGTGTTTACATAGCCTGATGTAAACACTTGGGAGGTTGGGAGAACACTCGATAAGCTGGAAACCACTCCGCTTCGCGTCGTGGTTTCATACGCTTATCTCGTGTTCTCCCAACCTCCCACGTGTTTACATCAGGCTATGTAAACACGGAAACCATTTTACATTTCTTCCATCTTGGTATTTCGACAGTCTAACAGCCCATTTATCAATTCCACTGTCACAAGTTTAGAGCAAGAATTGTACCTGCGAGAGATGGAATGGCTTTTTGCCTATCACGATATAAAAAAAAGGGGCAGACGAGGAAATTATAGAAGACACATTACTTGACAAAACTCAAAAGTATGAATTTTTTCCCCTGTCATTTCTTTAAAAGACAAAATTAAGGGTACTGAGTCTAAAAGATGCTGCGCCGTTTTAACTAAAATATGCGCAGATCTTTTTTCTGCAAAAAACAGGCAGGCGTTCTTAAACAAGATTTTCGGCACCGAGACGAAGGCGAAACCCATAAAAACTGAAGAGAACATTTAATTACGAACAGAACTAACAAGGAGCAGTTTAAAAGATCGGCCATGAGAAATGGTGATGTCAACAATCACATTTCTGAACATCGTCGACTAAAGAACCACATTATTGATTGGGACTTTGCAAGACGTTTAACCTATAGCATGAATTAAGTTATACGACTGACCTTCGGAAGCTAGATTACCTACTTAAGGCAGATTCTTCTCAACAGAAGAGTAAAAATCAAGAGAGTGAGTGGAACACAAAAAAACTATGATAGGTCACGTTTGCTCTGACGAAGGGCTAACGCTCGAAACATCAGCTTTGAAACTCTTTAAACGCTGGTCAATTTACGTTATCAGCTCAGCTTATGATACCAAATTACCCTGTTATACTCACCCACTGACGCAGCACCATAGTTCTTATAGAAACTTTCCCCATTAATTACAGGTCATAACTAATTATGTTATTATCATCACCCGTTTCGTTTTAGTTATCACAGCGACACAAGTTGAGGCAGCTGAAGGAAACGAGGACTTTCCTTTCAACAACTCATCAGGTGAGAAATCGATTGTTGATCAGCTTTTTTATACGTACCATGACACAAGAGCTCGCCTTGGAAGAGTTTCTCAGCAAACAGGGTAACTTATATCATTGAACGTGCTAAAACCTTCTTAATCCAATCCTAAGGGTTTTCGCTCCAATTTTTATGCATATTCTTTCTCTCGTTCCGATCAATATCGTCACCAAAGTCAGTGTTTTTACCATTTGCACCAAATTATGGCCCAAAAACTTGACCAACTTATCAGTCCTCACTCATCACCTGAAAGCCTCAAAACTGTCGTTACCATTCCAGAAAATCTTCCACTATCCGACTCAGAGCTAAAAATCCGTCCTCAGTAAGATCTTTAATTTTGTTACCATTTTTAAAACCGCCGACGAATTTTTAACTAAGCAAGACGTCGAAAGATTTCTTTGCGCGTTCAATTTCATAGGGCCTTTTTTTCATGACAAAGAGGATGATTCTATTAGATTAGAATAGTCTGATCAAGATAGAAAGTCTAACTGAACTCCCTCAGAGGGCCAGTCCGCATCTTTATATATTTTTAATTAAATAATGTTTTCACCAAGTAAATAGCAATAAATGAAGTCAGTGAGTATTGATTACAACAAACGCCATGAAACAAACATTAAAATAAACAAACAATGGATCATTAACCAAAAGTGTTCTTAGTTTAAAGGTAACTGATTGCTTTTTGTTTCATGATTCAAGGCCAAATTGCATTAAAGAAGGAATCAGATGGCAATGATAACAAATTAATAGGTACAAGAAATAAGTGTAACACTCAGACAGTTTATTAGTTAGTTATTTCAAATGAAACGTTTCAAGACAATTGAGCGTTTTAAAGATTGAAAACTGACAGAATGAGTAGTTTTCTATGGGTTGATATTAAGACAGAAATAACCAAGAGATTCTTTCAGAGCTGTAAGCTACACAATAACGGAGAAATTTATTTACTAAGGGGAAAACCCCAATAAAATATCAGAGGATAGTGAAAATTAATAGAAAAGCTTTTCAAATATTCCAGTTTTTATGACGAATGATATCCTTTGTTTTTTTTGAGTTACCAAAGAGGCCCAAGTTGAAGAAGCCGAAGGAAACCAGTACTTGACTGACAACAGTTCATTAGGTGAGAAAAGCAGTTAAATGCCTTTCAGAAATCGTTCACTTGTGCAGACTTTGCACCGATGATGAACAGAAATTATTGAATATATTGTTAATTAACTTATCATTCTGAAATTTTTCCTGGTCCAGCAGGTCTAAATACTCGCGGCACTCCTCACTTGTTTGTAATTTCCCCGCCCATAGGATACCACTTCAATGGGTTCCATGTCTGATATGGGTACTTGACCATACGCCAGATATCTTTTATTTGATGTGTTGTGACAAACTAGACGTAAATTTATACTCAACTAAACTATTAACACTCCTTCCTCTATGTGCCCCCGCCTAAGCGAAAACTTATACTTAACTAACCTGAGCTAAACGTAAATACACAACAGACCTTACAGATGCATTAAACTAAACTTAACTAAGAACGCATTTAACCCAACTTATATTAGATACAACTTTTGGTTATAATTTCAGGGGCAGACAAAAGTGAAGCTTCCTCAAGCGATAACGGAGTGGATTTTTATGCTTCGTTGTCCGTAGCAGGTAGATAGGACTGACTTGGGTTAAAATCAAACATATTCATCATAGGAAAAAATCTCTAATGGACTCCATGTAATTAATTGTTACATGACCCAGGTGGTCCTAGCTGGGAAAAGTAAACAGAATCTAAGATAATGAAAACATAAATAGTAGCCATAATATGATGATGTTGATGACCGTGAAGACAGTGATGACGATCATTCAAACCTTTTTTTTTTTAATTTTCGACTTGGGGAAAATTCAAGTTTCATCATTTGGAAAAATAAAAGATTTAGAGATCGGCAGTTCCGCAAGTACAGAATAAAACTGTAAATAGTGAGGAAGTATATTGTAATCATAAGTCTGGTTTATTATTTAAATTTTGGTTTGAAATGAATTAATAGGTAGCCACATCTAATTCAATGATCTAATGCTTGAGAACTCAGCAGCAATAAAAAGCAACAATCACTAACAAACAGGGGTGAAAAGAGTGCAATTATTTTTCTTGATGTATCATATTTGACGTTCTATATAAAGTAGGGAGATTAATTTCTATAAATGTATTATTCTTCATTGTTTAAAGGAAAAGTCCAAAGCACAACCCAATATGTTTGATTCTTTCCTAATTTTTAGCTACTTCGGAAGGGAAAGATTCAGCAAACCAAGAAAAGGTGAATTTGGAGGATGAGCTTTTATCAGGTGAGAGAGATAAAACAGTAAATGACTGGCACTTCTCAAGTTTGTGAGAGAAAAAAGACCTATGAAAATAATTAAAACACAAACAACTGAATCATTACGGCTAAAAGTTCTCTTTGCTCAAAGTAAAATCAGCAAACAAACAAAAAAATGGCGAAATGTGTTTAGCGCCGATCTTTTTACCACAACTCCCAACAGAAGTTTTTTTCTCTTTCAATGGACAGATACTTATCTATTTTGATAGTCTAACAGGAAAGTTGTCTACTAAGCTATCATGAAAATCCCAATTGACCGTAAATGGTTTCCTTTTGTGACATTTATTATTCTATGACTTTTATTATCCTGTCAAATTTATCAAGAACAATTCTGATAACAGTAATGATGATAATGAAAGCACAACTGATGAATAGCAACAATGATAACGGTGATGATCATCATTTAAACAATCTGTTGTTTATACTTTTAGAGCAGGAGAAAAGTCAAGTCTTATCCTCTGGAATATCAAAGGATTTAGAGATCGGCAGTTCAAAAGGTACAGGATTATACCTTCTCTTGGTGTGCGTTTATTGTTATAATGGCTGATTTATTGAGCGTCTTGGTTGCTTTAAATCAAAATTCAGCAGCACCTATTTTAATGGTTAACAGCAATAAAAAGCAACAATAGGAAAACCTTGGGCCAAAAAAGGCTACATTCATTTTTCTTGACGTATTGTATTTATAAACGTATTTGGTGGTTGCTTTCTAAAAATTTATTATCCTTCATTGTTTTCAAACAGTTTCCAAAGCACAACCCAATGTGTTTAATTATTTTCTATTTTTTTAAGGTTCGTCCGAAGAAAAAGTTAAAGCAATCCAAGAAAAACTGGATTTGGATGATAAACTTTCTTCAGGTGAGAGAAATAAACAGAAAAAAGATAGTGGTAATTTAAGTTTGTAACCACTGAATACAACACGCGCGATAAAATCAAACATACCGTCGAACAAACTGAACTCTGAAAGTGTTCTTCGTTCAAATAAATTTGTGTTCTTCGCTATTTCAAGATCATTTTACATCCAAGAAGGAATCAGATGACGATGGAAGCAAATCAAAAGGTACAAGAGATCAATGTAAAACTGAATAAATGTAAGCGTAAGTCCGAAATTAAATCAAAATCCGAATCCTGGTATATGTATTAGAGGTTGAAAAAACAAAAGTCATCATAGATCGTGAGTGTTTTAATTATTAATATGTATTGGTATTTCATTTGGAAAAGAGGACAACATGGCAACTGATGAAAACGTGGCTGCTGCTGACAACGGTTCCCCAGTTGAGGGAAAAAATGAGGCTTTATCAGATTTTTTCTATGATTGTAACGATCAGTGAGTGGAACAAAAAAAACCACGACGGGTCACGGTCGCTCTGACGAAGGGCTAACACTCGAAACGTCGGCTTTTAAATTCTTGAAACGGTGAAATTACCCTGTTATACTCTCCCACCGACGCAGCAGTACAGTTCCTTTAGAAACTTACCCCACTAATTACAGGTCACAACTCATTATATTATTATTATCACCCGTTTCATTTTAGTTATCAAAGAGACACAAGTTGAGGCAGCTGAAGGAAACGAGGACTTTCCTTTCAACAACTCATCAGGTGAGAATCGATCGTTGCTCAGCTTTTTTGTATGTGCCATAACACAAGAGCTTGCATTGGAAGAGTTTGTGAACAAATAGGGTAAATTATATCATTAAACATACTAAGACCTTTTTCATCCAACCCTTAGGGTTATGCATCTTCTTTCTCTCATTCCAATCAATATAGTCACCAAATGAAGCGTTTTTAAACATTTGCACCAAATTAAAGCCCAAAAACTTGATCAACTTATCGGTCCTCACTCATCACTTGAAAGCCTCGAAACTGTTGTTACCAATCCAGAAAATCTTCCACTTTCCGACTTAGGGCTAGAAATCGGTCCACACTAAGGGCTTAAATTTTATTACCATTTTTAAAACCATTGACGAAATTTTAGTTAAGCAAAACGTCGAAAAATTTCTTCGCGCGTTCAATTTCATAAAGCCTTTTTCCATGACAAAGAGGGTGATTCTAACAGATTAGAAATCGGTACGGTTGTCCATTGGGATGCCAAAACAGATATTCCACTTCATCATGGGTCACTAAAATGGAAAATTGGTTCAGTTGTGACACGCGCAAAAGATATCTTACATATCTTCGTTATAATTTCAGAGAACAAAACTTCAGATGATAAAGATGTGGATCTAGACGACGACCCCTTAGTAGGTAAGTGAGAAGACTAACGTGTTCCACAAGACGTAAGATAAGACAATCTGTAGTCATCTACTGTCCTTCTTACACTCGGAACAATTCAACCGTAGCTAGTAGAACGCTTTACGATTGAGTGTCGTAAAAGCGAAACTAAAGCAGCAAGTAACGAAAAGGAATTACTACAAGGAGCCGATGAGAAATTTAAGTGGAAACAAGGAAACTGCGCATACCTGACGCGCAGGAAAACAAGAGCGACCCAGCCGCAATTCAACTTGTTATATTTTTTATGGAGGGTAAGTTTCTAGAGAAACTGTGGTGCTGCGTCGGTGAGGGAATATAACAATATAATATTTGGTTTTATCAACTGAGTTGATAATGTAAAATTTGCTACCGCAAAAAGTTTCAAAGCTGACGTTTCGAGCGTTAGCCCAGTTCGTCAAAGAGAATGACAAAGGGCTAACGCTCCAAAAGTCAGCTTTGAACTCTCTATGGTGGCCAATTTACGTTATCAACTCAGTTGATAATACTACATTACCTAGTTCTAGTGTGAAATCTGACTGACTGCGTGAGAGGCGCAAGTTTTTGAGCAATCCTTAAGCGAAAGGAAAATCAAAGCAATCCAAGGTTATTCTCTACATTCAGTTGGAAATTTCTCTGTCGGAACGTTGCTGAAGATGAATCAAGAGTTTGAACTGATTTGGTGTAAATTGTCCATCTCCCGTCTAATAGAACGAAGTTGTTGAAAGGAAAGTGAATCTTTTTCCGAGAGTAACTTTGATCACCATTCTACTGCGCGAGAAAACATAGTCGCACTAGCCTTTCTTAAAAAAAAAAGATCTATTGAAAAAGTGACGCACGCGTCTTGAAATACTCATGTGATGGAACGCTATGAACAGCATCTGCAAGAATGGCAAAAGAGGGCATGGTAACGAATCCTGCGATCTGATTGGTTTTTTACCCGGTCAGTATTTTCCTAGCTCTGCCCAGGGGCAACGGTTACGCTTTCGCGAGTCGCCGAGTACATTCCTACTTTCCTTGCAATTTTTTATAAATATATCTCGTTTTGCCAACTGGGCAGTACTTGAAGCAAAGACGTCGGTCACTACCTCAAGCCGATAAATAACTTATTAATCCTCTCTTTTCTCTCTCTCAAATCACTTCGGTTGACAGAAAAATATCGGTTTAAGAATGAATTGTATAAGCAATAATGTCATTACGTTGGTTGACAAGCGGCCTAAAAACCGCCTGCAATTAATTTTAATCGTTCGGGTATTGTAAGTAATTAGTCATAACGAGTAATATTCCGGTGTTTCCTGTATTTTTAGTGAGAGCAAAGGATTGTTTTCAGCAAGGTAACAAAGAATACAGACAAGGAGATTTTCATAGAGCGCTACAACTGTACACTGAAGGACTTCAGCTAAACTGCAAAGATAATCGGCTGACAGCCAGACTCTACAATAACAGGGCAGCAGCTCATTTCCGTTTAGGTATGGAATTTCAACGTTCAATTATTTATAGTTTACTTAAAAGTTCATCTTCAAAGAGTCATGTGGTCCCATTTTATGCTAATTTTTCTGATCGTTTATCTATCACTCCAAATGAGTTAAAGGACATCCAGTAATATAACGGCTACTCAAGATAAAGACTCCAAATCTTGTGACCTATAATAAACCGAAATCCCCGAGAAGAGCTTTATATCACTCACGACCCTCTTTAATTTCACGTCGAGCGTTCAAGTTCAAGTTTTAGGTCCTAATGGTAAAAAAGGGGAAAATTAATAAACTAATCCCGTTATCACCTGCACTTCCCATGTGTATTCTCCCCACCAAACCCTCCCTCCTCCCGCAACCGCGTTATCGAAGGTTATATGAGGGGGCCCAAGTCTTTCCAAGGTGAAAGAAAACCTCGAATTAGTTGTAAAGAGTCCTGTTGAAAGGGAGTCGGTTACTCTTTTTGCAATTCTATCGAACGCAAATGACCGGTTAGCTCTAAATCCCTCCTTTAGAAAACTTTGAAAACAGCCTAGATGATGCCACAGTTGCTGTACAATTGGAGCCAACTTTCATCAAAGCCTTGGAGAAAGGTGAGTTTAATTTTAGTCGCCATTCAGTGGCGATAGCTCCCTGGCTACGTACGTTGAAGTAGATGTTTCTGGTTCAAATCTACGCGGTCACGCACCATAAATCTTCATTTGTGAATTGAAAATGCCAATATTTTGGCTTCTCAAAGAAGGCACTTAGCTATTTATCACTAATCCTTATTTTTATAGGAGCTGAAGCTTGTGTGCAGCTTAAGTTGTATGATGAAGCAAAGATCTGGTGTCATAAAGGATTGGCCGTATCCTTTGAAAAATACATTCGTTTCTAAGACGTAAAAAAACTCCAGTGATTACCACTTTAAGCTAACTTAAGAAAATCTAGTGCAAATTTAAGACGTCCAATGATTTTCAAATTTTTCAATTTTGATTTAAAAGCTGAATTTTCGGTGGTCTCTAGCTGTCAGTTTCAGTCACTTTTCCCGGTGAAATATGAGTATGATTTATGTTAATGCCATTAAAACCAGTTCTTACACCATTTCCTGCTAACAACGCAAACGATATAACCCGAAATAACTAACGACAAATAGTAAAAGACTTTCCCAAGATGATATATTACTATAGAATGGATATGATCGTACCATGCAGCTATTAATGATGCCAAACACTGACAGCTGTTAATGTCTTTTCCAAAAGGCAACGCGACGAAAGGCACTGCTTGTCGCCGTTGAGAATCTGACATGTGAAAGAAAATTCTATCTTATCAGCAGCCTCGCTAAGATTCATGTTTGTCCAGTTTTTCACACGTTAATGATTCGAACTTGTTATTCAAACAAATTGCCCTGCGGACGTTTCAAATTCCCCAGTATTTTACAAATGTACACGAGGAAGAGGCAGTCAGCGTTTCGAGCTCATTATTATCATTATTATCTGTCCTTCCCCCTCTCTCTCTCTCCTAACGGAATCAAGCCTCTCCCTCTGGTGACCAGTAATTGTAATGCGTTGTATTAAATTGCATCTTGCTCACTTTCATTGTTTTGAAATCTTTTAGTTCCTCGAGAACATAGCTATTTCGGGGGCGTTTCCAATATCATCTTATCTGCCCTCTTAACTCGGCACCAGGTCTCGGAAAGAGACAGCGAGCAAGTTAACTATCCAGTCACTGTATCCTCCCCCATTTTGAGATAAAAACGATGCTGCTGAATAAATAATGATATCAATTACAAATGAAATGTATAAATCCAACTGTTTCAAAAGGTCATCACACTCAGTGAAAAACCAAGTGAGCTTGAAGGAAAAATGTGTCTACGCAGAGTCACGACTTGAACGCTTTGTTCGATCTCTCTCTCTCTCTCTGGTCCATTAAAGGCAATCTTTTTCTCCTTTTGCCAATTTCGACACTGTAGATCTCCTCTTCGTGGCTATACACCTCGTTGCTGTTGCTCAGCTCTTTAATTTCTTGATCTTCTGTCGTTCCTGGTCTCTTATCCCGTCTACATCAAAAGGTTCCCTTTGGATCGTGCACACGCGTTACACTGGGTAACGTAGTAATTAGGATCTTTTAATCTCCTTGTCATCATGATTCTTGTGTTTTCACAGTTTTATCGCAATATCTTATGATTTGTTCAGGAATGTTATCCAAAACCAAAGCCTCCTCAGCTGTTTTCCTTCCTTTCTTAAACGGCTTGGTCCAACCTTCATCAACATTCATTTCCTTTTTGTCTGGCTATTACGGTTGTATCTAATCGTCTTTCTTAGTCTGTGTGACGATAAAAGCCCTGATCCACTCGATTTCCTTCATAGCTCGTTATTGGTGGTCCCTTAATTGCTCTTAAATTGAAAAGACTTTGAAACTTCTTGTCAGTCATGATTGCCCTTTTCCTTGTGTCCCACCGAAACATAACATAATCCTTAATTATTCAACCTTGTTGATTACATTTTTTTTTACTCAGTAGTCTTTGGAACGCTGCTCTTTTACGAACGTTGTTTTTTTTTCTTGAAGTGAATGGATACGGTTTCACTTCGTTAAAATTAATGTAAATGAGCATGGAGTAACAAGTAAGGGACCGATATTTTAGGCAAGGCGAACAATTAGAAATGAAAAAAGGGGGTAAGTTTCCAAAGAAACTGTGGTGCTGCGTCGGTGGGAGAGTATAGCAGGTAATTTAGTGTTAACAACTGAGTTGGAAACGTAAATTGGCCACCGTAAAGAGTTAAAAGGCTGAACAATTAAAAAATCTGACAAGTGTGCGACTTAATCGAATTACTGTGTGAACTGCAAAGCAAAGTTATCAAGATTGACAATTTTGTAAGAAAGGTGCTTTCGTCGAGTTCTCAAAAGCCGAAAAGGCACTCTGCAGGTAGAAGTCTTGCAGTGTCTAATAGACTTTCTCCTAAAAACTGGATGAAACACCCTCCCTAAGCATTCCACCTTTCCTCTCAGCAGTGTCATTTGACTTAACGCATTGAAGATGGACGATAATAGTAAAAGGTTGCGTCATCTATTAAACAAGTGTGGTAGTGAGACAATCGCATCCGGCGAGATAAAGCCACAGCAAGTAAAGGTAAATCTGACAACCATTACCTGAATTTTTCTTTAAATAGAACTGATTAGGCAACCAGAAACTCTAAAGAGGTTAAAACGTGCATCTCGAGTTCACAGGTCTTGGTCGAGGGGCCAGTAACGAAAATCACGAAATTATATCGCTTAATCGTTACGACCGCAGGGGCCAATATTTTTCCAGTACTCACTCAAATAAAATCATCAAAACGGGGTTAGCCAAATCCCGAAGTCTTCTAAAATATACGTACGTTCTAAAGATTATAAATCGAAAAATTCTTATGGCTAGAACAAAAGCCTACCTCTCTGTCTCTGTATTTTCTTTGGAGTCTAGTCACTTTCACAAACTTAAGAACCTCGTTGAAAATCCACATCCAGGAAGGAATTCAGAGGAATTCTGTGCGAGTGGTTCTCATGGCCCAATTACAGAGGTGTAATAGGGAAAATACTTATTTCTGGCCTTTTTTAAAGACCTCGTTCGAACCTAAAACCTAGGGACTAAATAAGTGCGTAATAAAACTTAGCGACACATTTCCAAACCATAAGGGAAACTCAAACCAGGAAAGGAGATGAATTTTATTCGTTTGTTTGATCGCGACATTTCTACTGCAATACTGCTAGTCTTCATTAGGCAGTGAGGTCGCTTGTTTACGTGTCGCTATTTGTAGCGCGTTGCTTCGTTGCTATTGGTGCATTTCGATCCTCATTATTATTCCGGTTGTTAGATGGTGTTCCCCCATAGGTCCTCATTAATCGGCTGTTGTGGAGTCTGATCGTCGAATAGACACTTAACAATACCACGCTGCACTGACTGAGGTTGGTGGGTGAATCCCTCCACTGGTACACACGTAGGGTTAAAGAGGCTATCCATATAAGACTTCATCTAAACAACATCAGTGGAGATAGTGGAATCAAAATTCACGAAGCTTGGATACTCACGATCAAACAACACAATAGCCGATCAAAGAGGACCTATGAGGGAACACCATCTAACAACCGGAATACTAATGAGGATCGAAATGCACCAATAGCAGCCGACTAACGTGCTACAAATGGCTTAAGGGGTAAGTTGGCCACCGTACAGAGTTAAAAGGCAGACGTTCAGAGCGTCAGAGCAATGAAGACTAGCAGCATTGCAGTGGAATCGTCGCGATCAACATCCAAAGTGACTTTATCGTGAAACAAAGGAATTAATTTCATCTTTTATCTTACACCACGATGAACAAAAAACTTATTTTATTACATCAAACCAGGAAGTAGAAATTGCCAAAGATCTGGGAGACAAGACTGGAGAAGGAAGGAGTTATGGCAACCTTGGCAATGCTTATCTTGGTCTAGGACAGTTCAAAACAGCCATCGACTACCATAAACGTCTTCTAGAAATTGCCAAAGAAGTGGGAGACAAGGCTGGAGAAGGAACGAGTTATGGCAACCTTGGCAGTGCTTATCATTGTCTAGGACAGTTCAAAACAGCCATCGACTACCATAAACAACATCTAGAAATTGCCAAAGAAGTGGGAGACAAGGCTGGAGAAGGAGCGAGTTATGGCAACCTTGGCAGTGCTTATCATTGTCTAGGACAGTTCAAAACAGCCATCGACTACCATAAACAACATCTAGAAATTGCCAAAGAAGTGGGAGACAAGGCTGGAGAAGGAGCGAGTTATGGCAACCTTGGCAGTGCTTATCATTGTCTAGGACAGTTCAAAACAGCCATCGACTACCATAAACAACATCTAGAAATTGCCAAAGAAGTGGGAGACAAGGCTGGAGAAGGAGCGAGTTATGGCAACCTTGGCAGTGCTTATCATTGTCTAGGACAGTTCAAAACAGCCATCGACTACCATAAACAACATCTAGAAATTGCCAAAGAAGTGGGAGACAAGGCTGGAGAAGGAAATTGTTATGGCAACCTTGGCAATGCTTATCGTTGTCTAGGACAGTTCAAAACAGCCATCGACTACCATAAACAACATCTAGAAATTGCCAAAGAAGTGGGAGACAAGGCTGGAGAAGGAAGGAGTTATGGCAACCTTGGCAATGCTTATCGTAGTCTAGGACAGTTCAAAACAGCCATCGACTACCATAAACAACATCTAGAAATTGCCAAAGAAGTGGGAGACAAGGCTGGAGAAGGAGCGAGTTATGGCAACCTTGGCAATGCTTATCATTGTCTAGGACAGTTCAAAACAGCCATCGACTACCATAAACAACATCTAGAAATTGCCAAAGAAGTGGGAGACAAGGCTGGAGAAGGAGCGAGTTATGGCAACCTTGGCAGTGCTTATCATTGTCTAGGACAGTTCAAAACAGCCATCGACTACCATAAACAACATCTAGAAATTGCCAAAGAAGTGGGAGACAAGGCTGGAGAAGGAAGGAGTTATGGCAACCTTGGCATTGCTTATCATTGTCTAGGACAGTTCAAAACAGCCATCGACTACCATAAACAACATCTAGAAATTGCCAAAGAAGTGGGAGACAAGGCTGGAGAAGGAAGGAGTTATGGCAACCTTGGCAGTGATTATCATTGTCTAGGACAGTTCAAAACAGCCATCGACTACCATAAACAACATCTAGAAATTGCCAAAGAAGTGGGAGACAAGGCTGGAGAAGGAGCGAGTTATGGCAACCTTGGCAATGCTTATCATTGTCTAGGACAGTTCAAAACAGCCATCGACTACCATTCAAAACAGCCATCGACTACCATAAACAATATCTAGAAATTGCCAAAGAAGTGGGAGACAAGGCTGGAGAAGGAGCGAGTTATGGCAACCTTGGCAATGCTTATCATGGTCTAGGACAGTTCAAAACAGCCATCGACTACCATAAACAACATCTAGAAATTGCCAAAGAAGTGGGAGACAAGGCTGGAGAAGGAGCGAGTTATGGCAACCTTGGCAATGCTTATCATTGTCTAGGACAGTTCAAAACAGCCATCGACTACCATAAACAACATCTAGAAATTGCCAAAGAAGTGGGAGACAAGGCTGGAGAAGGAAGGAGTTATGGCAACCTTGGCAGTGATTATTGTTGTCTAGGACAGTTCAAAACAGCCATCGTCTAGGACAGTTCAAAACAGCCGTCGACTACCATAAACGTCGTCTAGAAATTGCCAAAGAAGTGGGAGACAAGGCTGAAGAAGGAAAGAGTTATGGCAGCCTTGGCAATGCTTATATTTGTCTAGGACAGTTCAAAACAGCCGTCGACTACCATAAACGTCATCTAGAAATTGCCAAAGAAGTGGGAGACAAGGCTGGAGAAGGAGCGAGTTATGGCAACCTTGGCAGTGCTTATCATTGTCTAGGACAGTTCAAAACAGCCATCGACTACCATAAACAACATCTAGAAATTGCCAAAGAAGTGGGAGACAAGGCTGGAGAAGGAGCGAGTTATGGCAACCTTGGCAGTGCTTATCGTAGTCTAGGACAGTTCAAAACAGCCATCGACTACCATAAACAACATCTAGAAATTGCCAAAGAAGTGGGAGACAAGGCTGGAGAAGGAAGGAGTTATGGCAACCTTGGCAGTGCTTATCATTGTCTAGGACAGTTCAAAACAGCCATCGACTACCATAAACAACATCTAGAAATTGCCAAAGAAGTGGGAGACAAGGCTGGAGAAGGAGCGAGTTATGGCAACCTTGGCAATGCTTATGATGGTCTAGGACAGTTCAAAACAGCCATCGAGTACCATAAACAAGATCTAGAAATTGTTAAAGAAGTGGGAGACAAGAATGGGATTGCCGATGCCCTTTGTCGTCTTGCTACAAATTTTGAAAGGCAGGAATGTCTCCAAACCGCCCTCGACTATTATATTTCTAGTAGAGAGATTTTTAATAACGTTCGGGCTAGTTTTCTGTTGCACCATAACTGGAAGATTTCGTATCGAAATGTTCACAAAACAGCATACAATGGTGTTTGGCGCGTACTTTTACTCAAGGGTGAACACGTTAAAGCTCTTCTCGCTGCCGAGGAGGGACGTGCACAAGCTCTAAGAGATATCGTGGATTTAAAGTATAGCTTTCGACAAACCCTCACGTGGTCGAACTCTAGGAAATGCTCTGATTGTCTTTCATTAAGAAACGTTTCATCAGATGTAGTTTTCCTAGCAATTACTGGACCTTACATTGCTTTGTGGACTATTCGGAACGGGGAAGTCGTTCAATCGAGAATAAAGCATGTGAACAACTTTCTTTACCAACGTGAATTAGAAGTTTACATTACCTCTTTGAATAAGGCTGCTTCCTTGCAAGTTAGTGCAAGGGCTGCTGTTGAATGGGAAAAAAGTTCAACTCAAGTGGGCCGAGATGAAAAAGGAACGAGCGATGGTTCTCCGCGAAACGCGACGACTAATGCCCTGCGGAAGCTTTATGATATCATAGTTGCTCCTATCGCAGATCTGATTGATGGAGATGAGCTTGTATTTGTTCCTGAAGGTCCACTTTGCTTGGTGCCCTATGCAGCATTGGTGGATTCGAATTCAAGGTATCTGTGCGAATCTTTCAGGATTCGAGTAATTCCATCCCTAACCATTTTAAAATCAATCTCAGACTGCCCGACAGAATTGCACAATAAAACCGGTGCACTGCTCGTGGGTGATCCATGTTACAAGCAAGTCCTTTATCAGGGTGATTTGTTGAATCAGCTGCCGGGTGCAAGGAAAGAGGTGAAGATGATTGGAGGAATCCTCGGTATTGCTCCTCTCGTTGGAGGGGAGGCGACAAAGGAAGAGGTATTTAGACGAATTTCCTCAGTTGCGTTGGTTCACATTGCAGCGCATGGTAAAAAAGAAACAGGAGAGATTCTCTTGGCACCAAACACAAGTAGGACAACCTGTCAAGCTGAAGAGGAAGACTATCTACTGACAATGAGAGACGTGTTACGAGCCGGGCTGCGAGCGAAACTGGTTGTGCTAAGTTGCTGTCACAGCGCTTGCGGTGAGGTTATGGCCGAAGGTGTGGTTGGCATTGCGCGAGCGTTCTTAGGTGCCGGTGCTCGATCGGTTCTGGTATCCCTGTGGGCCATTGATGACGATGGTACTCAGGAGTTCATGAAACATTTCTACGGAGCGCTGGAAGAAGGCAAGGGTACTAGTGAAGCTGTCAATCAAGCCATGAAGTGCATGAGAGAGTCTGAAACGTTCAGCAAAGGGTATTACTGGGCGCCATTTGTACTCATTGGGGACGACGTGAAACTGGAATTAACGGAAATTAAAAGGTATCCATCGTAAGTATGCCTTTAATTTTGCTCAATCAACGAAAAGTGAGATGTTAATTATCACCTTTTTGTTCCTTGAGGTCAAACTCAATTTCATGTCTTTTATCTTCATTGCGTTCCTGCAGCCGAGGTAGAGGGTGCGCAAGGATAACACAAAACAGAAAAATACGTTTCTCGTTGACTTATTGCACTGCCTGTTGTTAATGCCGAGACTCGCAGTTTTTCTTTTGTAATAAAGCATGGCACTTAAATTTAATTTTTCGAGGAATTCAAGAAAAACATTCAATTTTGCGGCTCTTATACTTTTCTTGTAGGTCATCACTGATGGATTTGTTTGAAGACAAGAGGAGACCCCAGGCGTTTGGTACTGACTAATGACAATCAAAACAACCAGAGGCATGCGGGGTGACAAATTTAATGTTACGCGGCGTTGAATTGAACTGGTTGAATCATTAAATAACCCGCATTGAGGCTATAATCAAATAAGCGATTTGTTACCATATCATTTAATAATAAACTGCCAAGTCAAATGGTTTAGTTTTAAAAGGAGATTTTTTGCGGAGATTGAGTGGTGTTGCGGCCATGTTTAAGACAAGTTATGCCGAGAAAACCTTTTAATTAATCTCACATGGTCTTCGTAAGGATTATACAGCGATGTTTTCTAAATCATAAGTTAAATACGAAACTTTATGGCCATGTGAGTTGTGTATTTCAATTTCATGGCTCCAAGCATCACCTAAGACCAAGTTTAACCTTTGGTGTTTGGCATATCTTACCTTTGAATTTTTAACTTGTTGTACGTTGTACACGTGATTGCTTTTTTTTACATGCATTTGGACATGCATTTGATACATTTTGACTCACTGGATTGATAACTTAATTTTTTAATCTTGAAGCCTTTGCCAGCTTGGAAGAAATGTACTATCCAAAATGACTAGAGCAGGCATAAATCATGAACTGTGGAAAAAACGGAGTCCATTGATACTTACTTGGTACATAATCCAATTAAAATCCATTTCAGATCTTCGTTTCAGTTCTTCTTACTGTTTTTGCTTATTTCACGCAGTTTTCGCTCGGAAAATTGAGTGAAAAAGCAGGCGATGTTTTTAGATTATCACTCTTCTGCTTGATATTGCAAATTTAGTGTAAAAAGAACTTCTGAAAGAACGAAAACTAGAACACTATGAAATTCATATTCTGTTACACCCCTTCACTCTGTCTAAACTTTTCCCTTTTGCCCAATTAATTAAACAGGCTGTTAAATTACAAGGATAAGACCCACACCACACGTCTATTTCACTTGGAGGAGGGGAGCTGGTTCGAGTGAAAGAACGGTCAGCTTAAAAGGTCATTAAGTCTAAAACGAAATCTCCGTGTTTTTCCTACCACCCTGTTAAATAGGATACATTCCGCTAGCGACCATGACTGTGCTTTTAAATTGCAGCCAAGTATTTTTGCTCACCACTGGTTCACATGTTTCACACCAAATAAGCGGGGCTAGATTTCTGACACTTATCGAAATTTCAGGGTAGGGGCGCGGGCTCATTTCCTGAACAGCGAATGCTTTTCGATTCCAAACTGAAAATTGTTTACTGACAATTTGTTCTATTGACTTGCTCACCTAGACTTAGGGAAACATTTCAACTCTTTAACCCCTCGGAGCTACTATCATGTAATGTCTCCCTACAGTATCAAGCCGAGCTAAGTATTAAGGTCATGAGAATTAAGGGAATGATCGCCAAAATCCTCGTTGTCAGCAGCGTAGGAAATGTATAGCAAGAGAGCGGGTTAAAGAATTGGTTTCAGAGTGAACTCGTGGAGTAACTGACCAGAGTATGTGAGGTGATTTTTAAATAGCAAGAAGTCTAATAATTCACTATAGCCATACTCATCGGAGGAACAAAACAAGGGAATCACCTCACCATTACTCCACCTCAATCCTACGCGCACAGAAGATTGCAGGCCTTTAACGTCACTACAAAACAACTAAAGAGACTACTACATAGATCTATCTTTAAGTTAGATTTGTTTCTCGATTCTCGCCAAAAGTTTTCTTACAAATCGTTGGTAACTTTTCTGGATGCAAAGTAAAACAATGCCACCTAAATTAAGACAACTCTCAGTTTTTTTTTCCAATTCCAAAGTTTGTTCAGTTTATTTCTTCTCTTCCTCATCTTCTCCTTCAGTCTGTTTTGCAAAGTACTTCTTCTTTTCTGTTGGATCAGGTATGATCGTCTCTTTACCAGGCTTCCAACCGGCCGGACAAACTTCCCCGTGTTTGTCAGTATATTGGAAAGCCTGGACTAAACGTAAAGTCTCGTCGACTGATCGGCCCACCTGCGAAATAACCAGTTTAGATTAACTTCTCTGAGTAGCTAAGTTATAAATAGTACTTCACACTTTATAAAACCAAAGACCGCGAACCGCAAAAAAATCAGGAGACTGGACACCAGGAGCCTTTTTTCTTGATACTATCTACTCAGCTTTTTTTCTCCCTTGTCCAAATCAAAATCGAAATATCGCTATTTTTCTAATGAAATAATAAAAACGTCACAAAATAAAAGGAAAGGGATCCCCACTGCTTAACACTTAAACAATGAGCTTGAGATTTTTACCACGTGACAGTGGACGAGGGCCAGACTCGAATCAAATTATATGAATGGACAGATAAATTTTCTCAGCGTATCAAGAACAATTAACTGTAGAAGCAAACAGCTACATAAAACTCGCAGTAGAAATTCACGGTACAATTACAGTCATACATGTAAAGTTACAACATACCGGTAGATCATTCATTGTGATCTGTCGTAGAGTCCCTTTGTCATCGATTATAAATAGACCCCTGAAATAGAACAACAGGCATGCAATAAAAGTGGTCATAGAAGTAAGAATATTCTCACCTTAACCAAATCTCCCCTGCCTAACTATCAGACCTGTTATATAGCATGAAGGAAGCAAAGTATAGCAACCTGATCAGACCTGGTCTGAGAGTGTATTTAATCCATGGATGTTATGCCCATTACGGGAACATCTCCCCCCCCCCTCCCCCCAGCTCCCCCTCAAAAGTAAGGGGAAGGGGAAAAAACCATCCGACCAAGAGAGACTCTTCAGTATATGAGTTACGTTTTTCTTAACTATGTGGTGTGACAGCCAACAATGCAACAAGATAATGCCAGTCAGGTGCTCAAAACTGGATATCTTGATCCAGGGTAGGAGCACTAACAAAGAAATGTTCAGCTTTTAGAAATCAAGAATAGGTAGATTGCAGATAATGAAATACTTTGTTCAAGTAGATATGGTCTATTAAATGATCATCATTATCATTATTATCATTACATCAAATAAGTTTTTTTGGTACATACCACACAGATGAATAGTGCTTTTTGTGTGCTCTGTTTGGCTGGCTTGAAAGTGATTAACAAGTACTCTTCCCCTTCGAGCAGCCAAGGCAACAGAATCATGCATCAAAAATTTAATTTCCAACCATTTCTTTGTATATTGTGAGAAATGTACTGATTTTTTTTATTTCTGTGTGGTATATACAGTGTACATGCTAATATAATTATTTACCTCACTGTAGGTGAAAGTGGTAGATATTTACCTAGCTGCTTTGCAGCTCGGTTAATATCCCCAGCTATTTCACCTCCACTTTGTTGAATAATGTTTATTATTCCAAGAGGATCACAGCTGATAAACACTAAACACATGTTTAAATAGAATGGCCTACAGACACAAAAAGTCAGAAACATGAGGAAATACAAAACACAGATATCCTCACCTTAAGGTGTGACCTTCATTCTCAAGCAGTACTCCATAATCTTTAGCAATTTGGTGGTTTAAGTCAGATAACAGAGGATATTTAAGCCTTCCCAGACCACCCTCTTTCCTTGGAGTGTTTATCCTAGAATTGAAAGGAATATAGGAACTTATTTATTGCCTCTGGTACCTCTGGGAATTCTTAACAATTCAATAGGTACAAGGATTGCTCTACTAGCTGTTTTGAGAATTCCTTAAATTACCAATCATGCTTAAAATAAGGGTGAACACTGCTGTAGCAATATATATCTTTGTGATTACCCATGGAGTCATTCAAACGTTCTCTCCTGGATGACTATATTGTAATAATCTAACACTTTACACAAACATATAGAATGAATGTAACTTCAAACTGAAATACATTTTATGGTAGATTTTTTTACCAAAAATGGAAATTCTTCCTTTTTACTTTAATTTCTGGCATTCTACAAATCTTCAATATAAATTGGAAATACCTTTCTCTGTTTTTTTAAAACTCTCAAATCCTTTAAAGTTACAAATTCAGTTCAAATTTAGGATTGACCCTTAAACCCCTAAGAGTGACTAACATCTAATTTCTCCTAACAACATCACTCCTAAATCAAACATTTAGGTCATGAGAATAAAGGAAATGATCACCAACTAAAGAAACTCTTGATTGTTGAACAAATTCTCCTTGTCAGAACCCTTGGAAATGTCTAGAGAGTAGTAATGGAGAATATACATACTGATGTTAGGGTGTAAAGGGTTAACATACCAAGCTAAATGGGTAAAAACTGAATCTACTGAACAACCAACAACTTCAGTGTTGATTGCCCTGAACTCTTCAATTCTGTCACTAAAGGCAATGATCTCCGTTGGACAAACAAAAGTGCTGCAAATGACAACAAATAGGTGTTATTTGTAATGATTCAATTTAAAATAATATGCATGCAATTAATGAAACTTTTAATATCAGTCACCTTGAGAACAATGTTGACTACTCGGTAGCAATTGCAGAGAGATGACTAATTTGGCAGGATAGCATGAAGGTAGCAAAGTACAGCAAACTTTTAGTCAAAGAGTATTCTAACATCTAATACTCACAAGTCAAGGGAATAGAAAAAGAACACCAGATATTTTCCTGTGTAGGAAAAAGTAATAAATATAACACAAATTAGAATAAACTGGAAAGAAAAGAGAAATCATCAACAGATGACCAAAAACATCAAGTGAACATGCAAGAATTTGAGCAAGGGGAAGGTTTATCAAAAATCTGTAGAAAAAACTGGAAGAAGAAGACAAATCATTAACAGATAATGAGAAACATCACAGAAACATGCCAAAAATTGAGCAAGGGGAAGGTTTTTGAAAGAGATAATAATAATTATTTTTAACCAATGTTTCATTAGATGTATTTGGTCACAACAGGTCACTTGACTGAATCTGCCTCGTGCATCTCCAAACAGGCAATGCCCATGCACTGACAAATATGTGTTCATTCAAGCCCAGGCAGAGGCCTCTGTTTATATAATAGCACATGCAAAAAGGAAAATATTTATAAGCATTACAGTTTCAAACTGCTCCTGGCAGAATTACCAGTAGCCACATACAAGATCTTTACAAACCTGTGATTGGACTTCACATATGGCTCTCAGTTTTCCAAGTTACAGCTGTATCTATGAGCTCACAGAAAAAAAACTTACCTCTAGAATCAGTCATCTTCAAATATTTGAACTCTCCATTAACAACTGCAGTCCCTTCCCAATGATCGAGGTTCTGGTTTAGAAACTGTGCAGAAAAAGACTCAAAGGTCACCATTTTACATCTAAAGGACAATATTTATATCAAAATCAGAAACAAAAAGGGAACACAAAAAAGATTTCTCCTATCAAGAACTCAGATATTCTGGGACTGAATTGCCCTTTCCAAACACCAAAGACTTTTTTGCTACACTTCACCACCCCTTTCTCAATAACTCCAAAGAGCTGAGTTTAAGCAAAGGGTGTTCCCAATCCCATTTCAAACACTGATTTTAGAAAAATTCATGTTTCACCAATACTTTAAACAGCATTTCATGCATCAAAAATTTAAAAGGGAAATTTCATATCACTCTTTTTAAGTGCAATCTTCCAGGCAGGGAAATCTTTAGGTTTTCACAAAATGATAGAAAAAATAAGCTGGTTTCATAATAGGAGGCAAATCAGGCTTCAAAATGCTTCATAAATTCACAAATTGAGCTAGCCTTTCCTTAAAATTCACATGTCACAAATTAATTTTGACATTAATCATGAGTTTACTGTACATATAAACCTTTTGCCATCCTCTCCAAACATTTGATTTTTTATGAGCCACTCCAACTGTTAAATGTACATCATTCCATGTCAATTACCTCAGAGAATCTGGAGTTACCACATTAATACAATGTATTTGGCTGTAACCAATATCCTTGCTATAAGCCAACTGACCCCAAACTTCCAATGTGTAAAATTAACTCAACCCTTTAAATTCCAAGATATGGCTGTTAATTCTCTCTTCTAGCTGCTACTTATTTCCTTATAAATTAGTAACAAGAATTTGGTGTTAAATCAAGATAACAAATTCTAATTGAGAAGCATTCACATCACCTGTTTGCTGGATAATGTATGAACATTATAAGGAAAAATTACACATTCGTCACTTTTGGGAATTAAAGGGTGAACCAACGTGAATATTAGTCAAGACCTATTCTTGGACTTTATGTACATGTATAAAAAAGACCCAACAATTTTGCATACATTTACACTAAAATCTGCTTTTCTCTCAAATGAAATTTGTAAAAAAGCTATGCAATGAAAAGATGAAAGTTAACAAAGGTTCCCCTGCATAAAACACATGCACAAAAAAATTGAAGCTTTACTTTGAGTGAAAATAACTTGGCTTATAGCTGAATAATTACAGTATATCAAAATGATACCCTCAAGGTCACAAGTTTTTCAATTGTTATCACCTAGCTGTTGTTGATATTGTCAATACAGAGTTACTGTTATTAAGTGAATTGAGAAACATGATTTGGAAATAAATGTCACCTTACAGCTTATGGCAACCTTGAGTAAATGCTGCAATGCAAATGCTGAAAATCTAATAAACACCTTGACTTTTGATCAAAGGAGCAATGAAAGTGGATCATTTGTAAATTTTCCACAAAATTAACATTAAAAAAATTATGAGAGCTTGAAAATTTTAAATTCCATAAAAATCAATTGATGATTTGTATGACCAAAATTGAGACTGCAGACTGGGTACAAAGTACATGCTGCATCAAAATATTTCTCTCTTGCTAAACACAGCATACCAGCATGTATTAGTATAAGATGCTGAGTGAAAAACACTTAATAATATTCCCTGGAAGAGCATTACTGTTAAAATGCATGTCATAACTAAAACTTATCTCCCTAATATATTTCAATCAGTGTTTATTCACATTGTGTATACTGCAATCTTTCCCTTCAACCCTTTAACTCCAAATAATAATTCTCCTTACTGTCTGCCATACCATTCTTATGATGCTAGTTGAAAGAATTTGTTATTGGATCAAATAATCCCCTAAATGATACTTTTCTTTATTCTCATCACTTTTTTGTTTAATTGATATTGTCTTGTCACCCATGGGAGTTAAAGAGCTAAGTAAAACACTGAAAATACCAAGCTCAGAAGGCATTAAACAATGATTTTTAGAAGAATGTAGGTGTCATGCTTTAAAATTCCAGACATGGGCAGTGAGAATATTTTAGCAATGGACATTGTTACATAATGAGCATAATTAGAATTTATATGGCGCACAGATATGAATGATCCAATACCCTTCGCAGAAAATAAAAAAATTTTCAATGATAATGGCAGCTAACTAAAATCACTATAAAGTTACATAGAGATAAGAAAACCTTCTAATTCCCTTGAGAAGATAAAAACACTTCATTACTGGAGGCAACAAACTAAAAGCTTGGCTCAAAAGGTAAGTTTTGAGACTATGCTTAAAACTAGGTACAGGTCAGTGATGTCACTAAGTAGACTTCCAGTCTCAATCACTCTGATAAAGGGCTAAGGCTCAAAACATCAACTGTTAAACTCTTTACAGTGGCAAATTTACCCTATCAATTCAGTTGATAATACTAAATTACCCTGGTATAATCTCTCTCACCAACATAGCACCACGGTTTCTATAGAAACTTACCCCCTTTATTCCAAAGGTTCCATCACCATGGAATATGACCTCAGCAAGTTGATAAAGGGGTCATAAGAAGTTAATTATCAAGTGCGTGCACAGTGCAAAGCCTCAGGTGGATACTGGTGTAAACACAAGCTCAAAGGGGCTGTGTATTCTCCTAACCTTGGTTTCTTAAAATCCATCCCACAAGGACAGCTGATTCTTTTGTAAAAAGTTAGCTCTTGGTTTGCTAAGGGAATAACTCTACAACAACAAAGCTCTAGAGCACTGACTAAGGGAAACCTTTGCCACACTTAGTGCAAGGAATGAAATGTTATGGGAACAGAAATGAACACACTACATATTCTTAACATAGATTTTTCCATAGATATCAAAACACAAATGCAACAAACTAAACATTCAGTAACAGGAGTTTTTTGTTCTAATCTTGACCCTCATTTAAAATGTTTTTTGGTTATGGATGGATTTGTTCTGCAATAGTTTCCATCTATAACTAGTTAAAAATTAAAGGTTCCAATGACACATACTGCATGTACTATCCAATGTTTAGAAATGCCATGTTTGAGTTTAAACCTGTCTCTCTTGATCATTAAAATCCCCTTTTACACAGAAAAGTTTTTTCTCGCACAAAGGGCAAAGGCTCTGCTTAGAAATTAAGAAATTCTATTGACATGTACCAGTAAATAGAAGAAGATAAAAGAAAAGATCAGTTTCCTTATCTTTAGAAGTTCCTCTTTGAACTATTTACACTTAATTTTCTCAGCAACAGTTTGGTGTGGTAAGTATTCTCCTACAGTGTAAGTATAATATCCATTGTAAGAGGAGGACATTTTGGAGTTTAAATACTAGCATTTGTGGGTTAATTAGAAAAATCCGCTTTCATTTAGCTAAGAACTTTCTTTGAAGAGAAATTCTAACCCAGATTAAATATGCCAACAAAACAACCTCTTGCTCTCTAAGAAAAACAAATCAACTGTGTTTGCTCCAATCAGTCAAGAAAAAAATATTCAATTTTCCACCTGGAAAATATTTCTTCCATAACTAAAACTGATTTAAAATTTCTCTTTCAAAATATTATCATCGGCAACAGGGGTGTAATTAAAAAATGGCTTATCTTTATGGTGATGTCCAAGTTACATTCATCAAATTAAATATGATAAGCATTTGCCAATAAACAACTTCCAAAGAGCATAAAAGGATAGTTATTGCCCTATAGAATTTTCAGGATATAGTTCATAATCTTTTGTACTATTCTCACAGAAGTATTTCTAGGAAACATCTAAGGCTTTTTCTAGGAGGAGAGTAGTTAGAGAAATGAAATCATTTCAAGGAAACTTTATAAAATGACATTGGGTTCATATTTTATTGTAGTAACATTTTGTAATAATTTAGTTTTGTTGTTCTTAGAGAAAAAGAAGAAATGAAAATTAGTTTGGTATTCCAAAAGTTACTTGAAAGAACTTGTATTAGTCCATGGATACATTCAATATAAAATATATCAATGAAAGTGAAATTTCATCTGTGAGAAAATAGGTAATGTTCAACTCATATAAAAAAAAAAAAAAAAAAAAAAAAAAAACACTAATCATATAGCTGCATGTATGAGGAGTATATAAGTAGGTAAATCTCTTGGTATTTTTCATTGACTGGTAAAAGCTACAATAAAAATTATAAAATTCAAATATTTACATTTTGTATGTGATTTCCACTTGAGAGACTTTACCTTAACGGAGAATTACATTAACCCAGTCCACCAGACTAAATGACATCCAATGAGTTTTGTGAATGATGAAGAAAGTAAATTTTTTGAGTTACAACAGTTTTCAATGAGTTGTTTTAAATGTTTGACCTGAAAATATTTACAAAATCTAGGAAATTATCTGTCGTAGGAATTTGTTTCATTTGAAAATAACCTTTTAACTGGTTCACCAGCTCTTGAATAACAGTTGCTCAATTCATTTAATCCTTTCACCCCCAGATCTAATTAGTAATTCTCCTTATTGTCTGCCAACCAATTCTTATGACAATAGTTTGGAGAATTTGGTAGTGGGTCAACTAATAATCTCTCAATTGTCTCCTTGATGTTGTATTCATTTGCTATGGTAAGGAAAATTCTCGGTTTCTTGGTCACTCATGGGAGTTGAGGGTAATAAGCTGAGACTTCTTCTCTGCTGGAAAATGTGATTGGTCATTTTTTAATCTTAAGAGGACTTTTAGTTAAATTCATTCAGTGCAGAAATCATTCCCTGAAAGTTTAATGTTACTGTACATTGAAAAACATACTTTACGATAGTTGCTACTGACAGTAACTGTACTTTCTACTTTTTGTTATCATCAGAACATTTTGGATAGTCAAACTAATGTGTATTATATATAGCAACGTTCTCTAATTTCTTACTGTAAAGTTAGTCAAACAACTTACTATTTGCAGAGTTCTCCATCATCAATCTCCTGTGCGTTTTCCATTCCAATTATCCAATCCTATTTGAATCCCTGTTTTTGTCCTCATCTTACAACTCTGCAAATCCAATAAAATAATTGATTAATAACATAAAACACACATGGTTAGTTTTCTTTTTGTCAGATAAGCCATCTACTGTGTTTAAACTAGCATTAGTGGCCTTATTAACCCTTTAACTCCCATGAGTGACCAAGACAGAATTTCTCCTTACAATATCCATACAATATCAACCAGTTTAGTGATGAGAATAAAGAAAAATATCAATTTGGGGATAATTAGTTGATTCAATACTCAATTATCTGAACTAACATGATAACAATCGTATGGTTGACAGAAAGGAGAAATACAAATTTTATCTGGGAGTTAAAGGGTTAAAGTCCTTATAGCCTAGCTTTAGGTGGTGCTAAAATTAAGAATTATTCCTTAAGCAATGGCAATGTCTACGAGCTTAAGTCATCT